AACATAAAAAATAAGACCAGATAAAAAGTAGGGGCTTTCTGCCTACTTTGCAGATGGTTCTATTTCCCACAGCAGAACCCACAGGTGGGTCCACTAAATGCTGTCGATCCAATACCATTTTAACACAAAGATATATGAAAATATGATTTTCTGAAAATGGAAACAAGACTGCTTAACTTAAAATTCAATAACACAGTAAATAGCAGAATGGACAATTTTAAAATTCCTCCTGAGATTCTACTAAATGGTTGAACTTCTCTCCTATTTTTCATACTTACACATTTTCTTACTTTTCTGCAGCTTCATAGGTATATTGGAAGTGAGGTAAAAAAAACTCAGGCTTCTAGCCTACACCATTTTAAACTAGACTATACCCTTGTGTCTTAGCTCCAGAGGCTAAATAAAACTGTACAGTTTAGTAAAAAGTAACTCTACCCAAGACCAAAATATGCTCGTTCATGCTCTCTGTCTCTCTCTCTCTCTCAAATAAATAAATAAATTTTTTTTTTAAAGGTGGGGGGTGCCTGGGTGGCAGAGTTGGTTAATCTTTCAACTCTTGATTTCAGCTTGGGTCATGGTCTCAGGGTTGTGGGATCAAGCCCCACATCAGGCTCCATACCCAATGCAGAGTCTGCTTGGGATTCCCTCTCTCTGTCTCCCACTGCTGATGCTCTTTCTCTCTCTCTCTCAAATAAATAAATAAATCTTTAAACAAATTTTTTAAAAAGACCAAAATAATGGAGCATATTAATTTTCTATTGCTGTAACAAATTCTATAAGCTTAGTGGGCTAAAACCACACACATTTTACTATCTCAGTTTCCATGGTTCAGGAGTTCAGCATTTTTTGCTGAGTCTTCTGCTCAGGGTCTCACCAGGCTGAAATCATGATGTCAGTCAGAGTTGTGGTCCCATCTAGAACTCAGGATCCTCTTCTAAATTCATTTATAGGCAGAATTCAGTTCTGTGTGGCTGTAGAATTCTGGTTCCCATTTCCTTGCTGGCTATCAGTTAGCTATATCCCTTAGCACCTACAGTTCCATGCCATGTATCCCTCTCCAAAATACAGCAATTTATTTCTTCAAGACCAACAGTAGAGCATCTGCTGCAGCTTTAAATCTCTCTGACTTCTATATCTGATCCCTATTCCCTCTTTTAGTCTACCTGATTAGATCAGGCCCACACACTCAAGGAGGGTGATTTTGCAGGATGCATACACCAGGGGGCAGGAATCCTGGGGTCATCTTAGCATTCTGTCTACCACCTGCGATCAAAGCAAAGAGATTCCTACTGATAAAGTTTTATCCAGAGACAATATAGCACTTTAAATATGAAGGAATGGATAAACTACATATCCTTCAGATCATCCTCAAATAGTATTTTTTGCAGCATATCTTTTGATATAATGTTGGAAGCCACATGTTGAAGTGAGAGAGCCACAGTCAGAAGAGTCCCAGATCCTGACGATCACTTGAAGGAAGAGCTATCCTACCAGGAAGATCTATTTTGGACTTCCACTGAGCAAAAAATGAATCCTCAACAGTGAGATTTTAGAGTTTAGCTCTTACAACAAGCAGTATTATTTAAGGAAAACAGAAACTAGTGTTGGAAGAATGGTTTTGCCTTCACAAAAAATAAATAAATGGCACTGGTTGAGACATCAGGTAGTAGGCAGCAAGAATGTATATTTAATGAGTTGAAAGCCTGGAGAGCCCCCATAATACTATGGTAAAACAATTGGTAAAACTGGAACCTGTGATAAGTGAAAAGACACACCACATGCCTATGGGGTCTATAGCTTTGGAAGTGAATGGAGAATCAGAGTTATAGCATATATTGGTATTTACTTTCTGCTTCTAGCAAGGCATTACATAAAAGAGATAAGCACAAAAAAAAATTTGCTGGTTTGCTAAATGAAATTACAGGAAATAGAAGTCCAGATACTTGGGCCTCAGAGGCTTAGAAAGCTGAACACATAGAATCCCAAGAGTAAAAGAATAGTAAAGGTTTGAGCAATAAATCCCAAAGAATAGTGCTAGTCAAACAAAGTGACTCAATCCTGAAGTGAAGATCAGATTCACTATGGTCCTCTTACCCCTTATTTCATACAGCCTCGAAGTAGGGCCATTATAATAAGAAAGGCATGAGGCAAGGTCTACCTCCCCAAACTAGGGAGAAGAAAAAAACCCATCCTCAAAATTATAGCTAGAAAAGAACACTGGGTCTGGTGTCCACCTAGAACCTATGGGAAAGAAACAGATCAGAGGCCTCCTAACTTGTAAGGTAACTAGAGTGCCCAAAAGCCACAAAAAAGGACTAAATAAACCTTTGGCTGTTCAGAAACTTCAAACAACCCTTGGACCCCTAAACTTGCAGAAGCAGAAAGCAGGCAGTAAAAGATATTTGGGAGGTATATGTGTATAGACGTAGTTCTAGATATTAGTGTAGGTATCTAGAAACAGAGAAAGAAAATGAGAGACTGAGAGAGAGAGAGATTGTCTAAGAAAGGTATATTCCCCAGCACTCACTTCCTTCTGAAAAAGAAAAAACAGAGTGCAACCAGGAGAACTACAGGCAAAGGAATTCCTCTCAGAGTTAGTGTGTAAGCGAGAAAGACCCACTACTACCAAGGCAGAAGGATTCCCCAACGATGGCCCAAAAGGATTACATTGATTTCCTTATGAAGCAGGAAATACTGTGCATCTCCCACTATTCCCTTCTCTAAATGAAAGCTTTTGTTCTAGTTATTCTATTCTAACTTCTTCATTGGAGGTGGGAGGGAACACAGGTATAGGAAATTTGTCATCTTCTTTCCTGGTCAGCTACCCATCTGGATCCGGAGACTTATCTGGATCTGAGGGAGAGTTCTGAGCATCCCTGGAAGATAACAGACTTTGAAATGGATGCAGTAAATAAATGGGATATTGAATTGCCTTCCTTGGGAAGGAGCATATGTGTTCTAGGGATGAGAGGAAGAATGAAGAGATATTTGATGACCAAAGGGTAGAACTGTGTCACAGATTAGCTACTATGCACCAAACCTTAGTCCTTCTCCTCTTTAAATAATAGAGTGAGATTATTTTCTTTCAGCCTCCCTTGCAGGTCAGTAAAGCCAAGTAAGAAATCCATCACAAGTCAGAAATACCGTTTTGGGCTTGACATAAGTGGAAAAGAAATCATATCCTTTCCCTCTTTTCCAACATCCATGAATTCAAAATATTTATTGAACAATGTACTACTATAGACAAAATATATGGTAATTTCTTTCCCTCCCACTTTCCTTATTTTTTAGGTACTATGGATCCTAAAATATGTTAAGATATGTTTATTCAAAGATCTTAACTAACATAGCTTAGAATAACAATATATGCTCTTATTAGAGCTATACTTGATATGAAGTTTTATAGGAGGAATGAAGCATTATCAGTTAATTAAAAGTCCTGAATCCACAATGTTTTCTTCAGTTCTTTGTATGACACAAACACACCAAATAGCTAATACTTTACACAAATTGAGTGCCATAGTAGACAAATTCACCTCAATCTAACCTGAATTCTACTATAGGATGTGGTGACCTTTACAAGCTCTCTAAACTTGAGCAAATTACTTCCCTGCCCTATGCCTCAATTTTTTTAGATAATTAAGAAGTGAAGCCAGATAATCCACATTAAGTGAAATAAATGTATTTTCATGGAATACTTTCTTTCACCAAAAAGGAATTGAAGTTAATTTCTCAAGCAGAGGCCTTAAAAAAAAGGCAACTTTTAAAAAGTGCTTCCAAAGAGGCTCTGTACTATACTTTCCTATATTCTGAAAGTTTAGAAAAACTTGCCAAACACAATAGACTTGTCTTACAGAATACCTTCATTCCCATACTCAAAATATATACCTAGCAATACAAAGATACATTTTCAATAATTAATTTTTTTCTTCACCACTAAAAAATGACATCATTATTTACATCAGATTTATCATCAATTAGTTTTAAACTTTCCCCATCATAAAACATAACATTGACAAAATTTAAAAGAGAGAGGAAAAGAATATCTCTATTGCTTTAGGAAAGGAATTTCCAACAGGCAAATCTCTTTTGCAGAATAAGATATCTGAAAGATTACCAAGACTTGGTGAGACCAAAAATACAATGTGCACCCTCCCCTCCTTCCTTCCAGAGTGATAACCACAAATGACTTCTTCAAGAACATAGTTGTTTGTAGAACCAAACAATACTTTCCATAAACAACCAAGTCCTCTATTTGTTGTTGTAGGCTACATTATAAGGTATACTGAGATATTTTAATAAAATCAATGTGATTTAAATTTCGAGAGCAAGCAGCCCTGCAAATCATTAGCGCTCTTTTTATTTAAAATGACAAAAATAAAAAAAATCAAGCCATTCCTTGGTGGCTTTCATTACTTAGAGATGAAAACGTTAAAAGAAAAAAAAAACCTAAAAATTTCTAACACATTTGTTCATTTATAAGCTGTAAATAAATCTCTTTCTGTGATCATAATCCACATTATTTCCCAAAAGGCCTTTCTTCATTAATACCCACTGATACCAGAAATAACAATTACAGAAATATTTATAAATAACATGATATCTTGTTTACATAATAAGTAATTAACCAAAGGTACCTGCAGCACAATTTAGCTCATTACCTAGAAAGAGATCTTTTAAAAATCTTGGGCTTCAAAGCATATCCAAAGTCAAGGAAAATATTCAAAAACCAGAAAAACCTCTTTAAAGTCCCTATTTAACCATCACAATAAATCCATATTTACTGACATCCACAGAGCAGAACATACTAGTAAATAAATAATGCATTGCTCTGTTGAAAAAAAGAAAAACAAAACACATCTTTTAATCAAGTGTTCCCATAAAGAGGAAGGACTTCCCTAAAATGATACGAAACAATCAAGACACTTAGCAGAGAGAAACCCATGTTTAACAGAAACTAGCAAAGTCACTGGCCAACCTATCATAAACCCAAGACCTACTTGCTTCATGGCAGTCTCTCCAATTTTGTCAGAATGTTTGCGGATACTCTCCAGAAAGTCTTTGAGATCAGACATAGAAACATCCTTAATTTCTTCTCGAAGCTTGGGAATGTTATCCACCATCACCTTGCAGAATCGATAGTGGCTTACTTGAGGCAGATAGGTATGCTCTAGATGTTCCAGAGTTTTCAGTGCAGGATAATGCCTATAAAAGGAATTATATCACCTTTAGCTCAACACAGTCTTCTTTAAGGCCACAGATATATTCCTTAGGTAAAATCTCTAGCCTGAATTAGTTTCATTGTTCATTACAACAAATTCAGTATTAAGTTTCAAAAAAAGAAATCAATGGAAAAATGTCAAATTATTCAAAATTAACATATGCATTAAAGGACTTAGTAAATTACAATGAGAAAAGATTTTATCCCAAGAATATAGAAAACTTAGAAAATCTACCAATGAAATCCATTATTTCAAAAATTAAAAGAAAATACAAAATGATCATATTAATGCCAAAACAACCATCCTATAAAATAAAATACCGAAGTCTAAACTTCCCAACTATGGCACAGGGAAGAGCTTAGCAAATCTTCTACCCAAAAAAATGAAATGAAATACCATTATTACAAAAATTACCCAATGAAATCCATTATTACAAAAATTAAAAGAAAATACAAAATGATCATATTAATGCCAAAACAACCATCCTATAAAATAAAATACCGAAGTCTAAACTTCCCAACTATGGCACAGGGAAGAGCTTAGCAAATCTTCTACCCAAAAAAACAAATATAAACTAAACAAAACTGTCCCAAACAACCATTTCAGGGCTCTGGAAATAGACCAAAGGATAACATATTGAAAAGTGTTTATTCATGAAAACTGCTGAACAATGGAACTCTGTGGTGTTCTTGCCTGGGGCTACCTCCATCAACCCTCCAACTCCACCCACACTCCATCCCCCTCCCTCCCACTGGTTATATTGGCTTGTCATGAAAACCAGCAGCCTCCCTGCCCTTAGAAGCAGATGTGATTTAGAGTGGCATTATTAGGTAAAGTAGGAAACTCCAGATGAAGGAAGGAAGGAAAGAATAAGGACAAACAAACAAACAAACAAAAAGATAGGGAAATACCCCAGCTCTCCAGGCCTGAAGTTAGTCTGGGTTGGGTCAGAGGGTAGATTAGAGGACTAACCAGAAATTTAACAGAGAAGTATGGAAATAAGAGATCCACAGAAGGACCCAATAGCTCTTTGCACAACCCTAGCCTTAGTCATGACTAAGGTTGTATAAATGTGCAGTAGGAGACCCAAAAGGGCCTAAGCATTCCACACACCTCTGGCTGACTAGGAGGCAGCAGGCCCACACATAGCAGAAGCCCTGGGATAAAGTTAAAAGCTCAGGCTGTTTTGAAAATTGCCTGAATTTTTAATGTTTTCCATAGCCTCCACACATATCCACTGACAAAGGTAGAAACCTTTTTGGCTCAAGTTTGAGCACAAACATTGGACCAATCTTTGGCTAATGACTATCCTTTAAAAATGAAATATATTTCCTGATAAACAAAACCAGATAATTCCTTACTACCAGATCTGCCTTAAAAAAAAAAAAAAATCCCGAAAGGAAGTGACAATAGAAACTAATTGGAATTCACAGAAAGAAATAAAGAGCATAGGAAATAGTAAATATATGTGAAATATAAAAGTCTAAATAAATATTTCTTTCTCTTTTCTTCTTTTAATTTCATTAAAAGAAAAATTTTAAAACAAATGATTATAATACTGTATTGCTGAGTTTATAATATATAACTATATGACCATAATAGCACAAAAAAGGAAGTAAGAAATGGAGTTAAAATGAAGCAAAATCACTACTATATATTCTACCAAAACTACATCAGCATTAACCTAAAGTCGATTGATATATTAAGATATAGATAATCCATACAGCAACCTCTAAATAAATAACTCAAAATCTATCATTAAAAACAAAAGAGGAATTAAAATAGTACACTACCAAATATTTAATACAAAAAAAAGAGAGTAAAGGATAAGAACAAAAAGATATGAAAAACAGAAAACAAAGAGTAAAATGCAGCCATAATAATTACATTAAATATAAATGGACTAATAAACACTCCAGTTAAAAGGCACAAGGTTAGGATTTAAAAAGCATGATCCAATTACATGTCCTCTACAAGAAACACACTTTAGATTCAAAGATACACAAATAAGTAAAAGTAAAAGATGGAATAAGATATACCATGCAAAAAGTAACCATAAAAATGCTGGAGTGGCTATATTAATATCAGATACAATAGATTTTAAAAATAGAAATATTGCTGGCTATACAAAAGTAAATATTGCTGGTAAGGCAATAGTAAGGGGAACGATATTTATCTGATAGGTAGGAAAGCTTCCATTAGCATAAGAGAATGAATAAAACTAAAATTGGTAAGTTTGATGAAGTAACAACAAAATAAGTTACACATTAAAAAATATAATAAGAATAAAGAAGAAACAAAAACTTGGTAACGATTATTTAACCTAAAGTCGATTGAAGGAGTCACAAAAGAAGAGTCAAAAAAGAAGAGTCACAAAAGAACATTAAAAAGGCCAATAGGGGTGGGGGTGTGATTTGAACCGTTATGTGGAAAAAATGCAAATCAAAACATGATTTTGTCACTCAAACTCCCAAAGATTTCTTAAAACATAATGGGTATTATTATCAGGAGTTTCAATAAATGAGAATTCACTGCCTCCTGGTAAACAAATTTGTATTAATGATACAAGTTTTCACTGAAGAATCTTACCAAAACAAGCATTCTAACCAGTTGCCTTTCCAAAAAAGAAATATTAGATTAACAAAAGTATGTAAACCTCTTGAATTATAGGTATTTACATAAGTCAATAAAAAACTAATCTAGATGTTTAATAATAAAGAACTGGTAAAATAAAATACATCATGATACATCCACATAGTAAAAGACAGCAAAATGGTTACAATATTGTTAAGTAAAAGCTATTGCAAAAAATAAAATTTACAAGTATAATCATAATATTTTTCAAAATTATAAATATGCATACATATATAAATTATGAATATATGTGCATGTATGAGCTATATATCACTAAATACATGCATACACACATATAGAAGTACACAGAAAATGAATAGAAAAATATAGACAAAAATGTTAACCATAATTTTTTTCCCTTGGGATAGTAACATTTTGGGTGATAATTTTCCTTATGTTTTTAATTTCCTAATTTCCATACTTCCCATGATATATTTAGTAGAGGAAAAACTCAGTTACAATCTTATAAATAAAAAACTGATAGCTTTATTTTAGATTTTTAAGAATGAATTTCACAGTATACACTTGAGCTCTTCTTGCTCCAATATGCTTAGTACCACAAACACTAAAGACTGGTTTTACTTTTTTTTAATGTCTTTACCTCACATGTTCCAAAAATCAAAATCTTAGTCCAAATAAATGGAGGGGAGAAAGATTTATTTCCTCTACATTTAGAAATAAAAGTACAAATATAGTTAATGTGAATTGGTTGCTTTTATTACAATTTTACAGACTCAAAAACAGTACTGATTTGTTATTCACATGGTTTAGTGTAAACAGAATGGTGTTTATACTACAATTAGGTATGAAGAGCTATGTGCAATAAAATGCAATTCCTCTAGAGAGAAACCTTAGAAGGGATAGAAAGCCAGAAATTAAGCCAAAAAGATAAACACACTTTGGGGTTTAGTTATATTTTGGAACATTGTTTATAGAATGAGAAAAATCTAACAATGTTGCCTGCGGACACAAGGCACATTCACTGATGAGACACATGGCCACATGCTGAAAACATCTGGTCTGTCAACTCCACATTTTTCAAGGCTAATTAGTACAAAACCCAGTGATTCCTGGCAACAAAGAATGTCACCTTATTTTCCCATTGTCCTTTCGCTACCATATTCATATTCTAACTATAACAGACCAATAAGATTATTCAAATTTCTAGTGTATTTTAATATCAGGGACAGGTTAAAGAATGACAGCCAATTAAACACCTGAGTAGCAGATACCAAAAGAAAAAATTTCTATTTCCAGCAGCCATGGAAATCTAAAACCACATTTTGACCTTATTTTTGATAACCTCTAACCATTATTAAAACTAAATCAGAAGCCAAATTTTAAGTTTCATTTGCAAGTGTGCTAGCTTTCCCTGTCTCCCTCTATTACACCCCCTAATAGAAATTTGAGCAGAAAAATATTAAAGGAAACAAAATCAGGACATATAAAAGAAACAAGGGAAAGGTATTTAAACAATTGTATAAACTGGGTAACTATTGTCAGAATAACTTAGACATAGCTGAATGCTATTGTGAGAAGAGGAATGTTAATTATAGGCAAATTAAATTTTGGTCCTTTTTTCCATGGTATAGAACTCTCACACAATGATTTTTTAAGTTCTAATAAGTGATCTTTTAAAGCAGATGACAACTACCTGTGAGAAATTTTTATAAATTCAAAGTATGATAAGAATATTAAAAAAAAAAAAGCTTTGACCACAGGAAATATTAGTGGCTTTCCTTTTTTTTTTTTTTTTTTTTTTATTAGTGGCTTTCCTAATCAAAGAGCACTGTTAACAAATATTTAATCCTTTCTATGTGTTACAGGTAGAAAGATGGTCAGGTAACTTTCCTTAGGGAACATAGAACCTAATAGTATTATCACTATTTACAGCCTTAAAAAAAATACAACTAAGCTTCTACCCATGCAGGAGTGACAAAGAACAGACATGAACTTCCAAACTTAAAAAGCAGAAGACTGGCTAAAATATAAAAACTGATTTGATAGTGAACAGTGGTCTCTGAAAAAAGGGGAACAAAAAAGCTGAGTTTAAGTTTAATAATTATCCAGGTTATATGTGATTTCTAAATCATGGGCAGAATCAGAGAAAACTCAAACATAGCCTAGCAGCTTAGCAGAGTTAAAGTCAAAGATAGTTCAGGAAAGGTGACACAACTTGAGGCTGTACAGCAGAATTCCAAACAAAAAGGGGAGGAAAGGAGCAATGCAGAAAAAAGAACTGCAGAATCTATACAGGGGTTCCCTTAAGTCTTTGCTGAGTACTACTAGGCCAGGTATAGAAAAAGTGAAATTCCACAAGGACAGCAAAAAGAAGAGAGGGAATGAAGG